TACCCTTCAATTGACAATGATAATGTTTTTAAAACTTGGGGGCGACGGAGCTATGGAAAGCCTGCCGAATATGACAAACATTTATGAAAAAATGTCCAAGTTTTTAATAGCTTTTGCCATGACCTCATTTGTTTAACTGAACAATTAAGACAAAGCTTTTCATTGAAACTACATTGCCGGTAACACAAATAATCCTTGTTTTTGTGCAAACATTTACACCAATAAACTTAATGAAATAATTCATAAATGAATGCGAAGTATTCCGTGACCTAAGACTTTATCTAAATAGTCTAAGTGAGTTAAACTATTTATATATTTGCAACCTGAAAGATGGAAGACAAATGCAAATTTTAAAGAAATCTACCACATCATTACGTGAAAATATTCTTCTGCTGCAAATTAATCTTTTCTATTAATGAAGACCCATAACTGTTTCTGCAAGCCAAATATTTCGAACTCTTTTATTCCATTAATATTTCACAGTTAGATACATGTTACATAGTTTTCCGGTAAAGATAATAGGGACTCTAAACGTGTAATATTGGCGTCCGTAAGTTGAAAAAGCTCCATTTATTTCTACTGTAAGCTCAATAACAACGGAATGAACTAAATGAATTCAATAACTGAACTGCAAATAATGCTTTGTCACTCGTAGTAGAGTGTCTCTCGAGCTCGAAATGATTGCCTTTACCGGTTAACCTAGGGAGGAGGTTAAACATTGCGATAACGCAAACTCAGTGAGAGATAGAGTTTTATAAATATAAAAGTTTATTAATTAGCTTTAAGCAAATCAGGAGCTTATTATTGGGTTTCGTTTAATAAAATAAATCGCTAAATATGGGACATGTTAGGTCGGCACTCTTAACTAAGCATAACCTTTTCAGATATGGATATGACCTACATTTAGTTAAGTTGTTAAGCGGCAGTTTATGTTATCTGGCCAGTTAATGTGTCAATTGAGGGTGAATAGATTAGAGGCGCAACAGGTTGACTTCAAAGCAACACAACGAGGGTGACAATACAAATATAGGACTGTTCTATTAGCGGAATAAGATAATAACCAATTGAAATAAATATAGCGACATATTCGGAATCAAGACTTAATCTCGGCCCAAGATTTATCGATTCATAGAAACCAAAGTTTAAAAAATTCAAAAATTTTAAACAAATGATTCCTACATTTAAAGAAACGTGAACTGTGAACAAAATGAGGAGCTAAATAATGTACCGACAAGATCATCATTCATCATTGGGAACAATTCTGGTTAAGCATAGTAAGGTCAAGAAGACTGTAGACCAAATTTACAGTTCAATCTATTGTTGCTTCCCATTTTCCCCAACGCTTCTTTTATTTTGATTACAAAATTATTGAAAAAAGTCAGAAAATATGTTAAGCTTTTTTTAAAACTTTTGCCGAATTAGCTGTGAAGACATGCAATCTGCATTTGTTAACTTGTACCTTAAACTCAGTCAGATCATGCTTAAACCGAAAATGGTTTAAAATAATAGCCGGTTTTTAATATATTTATTATACAGTCCAGTAAATGCACGTAAATTATAGTGTACAATGTTAAACAACACAACTATGTATGTGTAACGGACTAAATATTTCGCTGTTAATAAAGCAAACATTAAAAATATTCTACCGAAATCTTGATGATTTTGAAATTCAGGCCAACGTGGACTACACGGCACTTTCGTTCTTTGCGATCCCGAAAAGGCAAGGTTGATTGCAAGCCTCAACAGACAAAGTCCGTGTCTATTGAAATATTGAAGACAGAAGAGAAGAATTAAAGTACAAGTAATTTTTGTAACTGGCGTACTTGTAAAAGTGATCGCCGTCATTTTGATCAAGCTGCATTTAATGCAGTTTCGTGGAACCATTTCTTCAATTTTTATGTAGAAAAGCATAAAAATTGACTGAGTTGCCTGTGAACATTCAACTTGAAGTTGATTGATGCGATCGGCTAAGGAAGGAAGGGGAATAATAAAACGCTCCGAGAGTTAATGTATAAATGATCGATGTAGAGAACTACAGAGAGACATTCTGCTGCTAACCACCCAATCAAAGAGACACAAAATGTGAGCGAGATGGACGAAAAATCCATCAGAATTATTATTGTTGTTAGCAGCGTATGGCAATATTCCCTCTGGGCCATTGGCCAACTCATTTAGTCCAGTTAAATTAGACTTTAAAAACCTGTTTCGGGCGCTAAATTAATGAAGGTAAAGGATTATTCAAAGTTGTTCGGAAGAAAGTCAGAATATTGGGACAATAGTTTACCCGCGATTTCCTGCTGTAAAGTATTGCTTGAATAATCAAATAAAGTGTTAAAACCGTTTTTTTCGCATAACTTTTCAACCGTTGATGCTATTGAAACATCGTCCGAAACGAAAAACCCTCCGATTTGAGAGTTATTTTTTAATTTTCTATAATTAATTTAGTTTTGCTACAAAAAAATCGAACTATAGCTTTTTCTGAAGGTCCTTGTATACTTCAAAAGTGGCATAAGTTTTAGCTTAAAAAATTCATAACATTTTGTACATTCCTATTTGTTATGTAAAAATGGGCCTTGCCAGATTCTAAAGAAGCACTTTTTGGGACGTCGAATCGACTTCTCTGAGGGTCTATTTTACTCCTAAAGATTTATAGTACAACGTACAATAAAGGCAAAGTTGATTGCTGAAGGGTAAATTGTTTAAAAATTAAGTTGGAAACCAAGAATTTTTAAGCAGTTGACAGAAAAATTATTATTCTCAGATAAAATTGAACGTAAACTTGCAGCAATTTAATACCATCAATGTAACATGTAACATCGACATACTTTCAGATATCTAAGATTACAAAGTATTGCATCGATTCCTATCATAGAGACCAGGCAGCTCGTATTTTTCTGAAAACATTGCTATCTATTCAAAGTTGCACATAAATTTAATAAATGGAGAATCTGGAATATATATGGCCATTTCAAAAAAGCAAATGCATTGTTCCTAACTGGGTCGCAATACATGGCAATTCTATGACGTGATAAATCAGTCTGAACATATAAGAGTTAGAGACCACTATTTGGGAACATTTGATAGGGCTTACATCTAGACTATCGAACCAACAGTAAACTGTTCGAAAATGCGTTCATTTATAATTTTTTTCAATAGATCCGATAGGATCAAGTGTTTGATTTAAATGACGATTAATTTGTGATTTTTCTTTAAAGTAGATAATACAATATTTTCAAAATTTTTGTAATTAAAATAAATTAAAAATATATTTTTTAGAACAGCCAACGACATAAGGTTTAATGGAAAACCAGGAGCTTTCTGGAATGAAACTTTTGGGTTACATTGAAACGGAACGATCTGTGTCATTTCCAGAAGTTGGGCATTGTAATACCAGGCGTTCCGCAGTGATGAGTAGGCAAAATTGGCTTAGGCTGATCAAGTATTTATAGTCGTCAGTTTCTAAACCATGATAAAAATTATTTACCATACTTTCTTATAGGAATAGAATATTTTTTCAGTAATATGATGCTCTGGCGGAGGATTCCGTTTTATTTCTTGAACAATTTCTTTTCACATCTTCGCGAATGACTATGGGTCCCTGAACGTATGTGGTTGGCAGCTCGCGTCTTGCCATTTCACTTGTTGTAATGAATTGGACGGGGAGCATCGTGCTTTCATTATCGGAACATTTTATCAAGTAACGATAACGAATCTGTGATAACGGCGCAAAACGCTTTTTGCACTCACACAAATTTTTGAAACCAACACTTACAGAACTTGAATATCATGAACATGTGTGGTTTGAACATGATCGGCAATAAGGCCGCTAGACGTTTTAAGGGAAATATTTCCAGGACATGTAATCTCCTTGGATCGACGTGGGGACGTTAGGGGTCTACGCATTCACCCGATCTTGCCCCAAGCGATTTTTTCCTCTGGGACTATCTGAAAGCGGATGTTTTTCAACACCATCCCCGAACCATTGACGAATTGAAAGCAGCATTTTTTAACAATTTTTTTCGACAAATATTCTTAGCTAGTTTCGGAAAGTTTTCATCACTCGAGCAGTAATTAGAGCCGATATTCCTGTGGTTTCTTGGCGTATAAGATAGATAGAGATAAGTAAAAATCTCACCAAGTATTTTCAGTTCTAACAAATGAGTGATCATAAATGCATAATCTAACAAGCAACCTCATTTTTGAAGAAGTTAAAATAATGAGAAAGTAGTAATTACAGACCGTTACTTATGTACACATGTGGAGAAGGATACTACGCGGCTGACTTGTTGCAGATTCCAAAGACCTTCCAAACACTAACATGTGAATGTTTTAATTAAATGTTTTTGATCACACAATTCAATTGATGGATGATCCCTTAAAATGCGTACAATTGAAAACGATAACCATGCGAATAACGAAATGTTAATCGTTCACACGCATCATAAAATAACAATATTATTCTTATCATGTAACGAAAGAAAAAAACAACTTATTTTGAAGTTAGAGGTTTAAAATTGAAATATAGTCGGGCAACAATGCAAAAGAGAACGGAAACTTTTTCAGACAAACGCTATGAAAACCCGCTGCCTTACCAAAAGCGTGGGCATTTGTCTAAATTTATAAAAGTCAGCAATTGGAGAAAAGTTCTCTACTGGAAGCAAAACAGGATTTTCCTTTTAAGGGATTTTATATAGGAAACCCGGCTTCAAAACGCAATTGTGCATATCAATTGGTGTCGAAATTAATTCGACAGCTTACATCTCGAAATGGCATGAAGTTTGCCCTCAATCCCATCTGACAAATATGACAAAGATAAAATACTGGAGAGTTTTGAAAATCAGTTTTGATTAGGCCCAAGCAGAAAGATATCAGTTTACTTCAGTTTATCAGTATCTACTGTATTGATGAGAATTCGTTTTGAATCATAATTTCAAATATTTTGGTGGCGTTAAATAATTTGTTGGATAATTTACTATTAGCGTAGTCCTAACGGCAACAAGAAGAATAAAACACTCAAATATATTCACATCGTGTCACAAAAGTGTTCTTATTTATAACATAATAAACTAAATAACATTTAACAGTACTGGGCAAATCCAACTTCCATCCAACAAACAGTTGCTGTTTGATTTATTGCTATTGAACTGCTGATATTGTATATGGGAAGTTTCTTAAATTTAAATAAAAATAGAAAATTTAGTTTATAAGAGACAAACCCCAATTTTTTTAAACAGATCTGGTTTTTAATTTTATCAAAACATATTTTATCCTGATTCCACTGACGTACCACATACTGACGTTTTAATTGAAACATTTCGCAATACGTTTTATTATCAAAGAAATATCAATTTGAGCCTGAATTTTAAATCAAATTTGCATGTTTCGGTTCCATTTTCTTTTAGGTTTCCTTTTAAGAATCAGACGCAAGACACATACATTTTATTCTATTCAAGATTGGATTTTTGGAATTCCAAATAAGGTACTTAAGGTAAACATAATTTTTTAACTAAAATTAATTTAGGGAATTTTATTCAGTTAATTGGAAATTACTCTTAAATATCTTAATTTTGGAAATTAAAAAAAAATAGGCCTTCGTCTTGCAGAGACGCTGGAAAATTCAAGATAAGATGGTCCAAATCTATTAGGAGTGTTTGATAGACGTGTACTTTGATAAAACCGCATACCAAATGGCCTAATTTTTTGTGTAAAATTCCCAGCCACACATTTGAACCAAATATATTCTGGAATGGCGTTTCTCGATGAATGTGCCGGTGGTTTTGATAGAAATATTCATTGTTGCGGAAACAGGATCGGATCACAAAATTGCTTATCATAACAGACAAAAATTACTGTCTACCTTATCTATATCCCCAATCGTTATTAACCATCTACAAAATATTCGGTTTTATCAATAGTCCTCGGCCCTCAAAGGTTGCACTTTACCCGATTCATAAAGATTGGGTTATTTTTTTTATTGTGTTTCAGGTGTTGGAAATCTATGTTGTATGCAGCAATAAGTTTACTAAATTAATTAAGGAAATTAGTACCTTGTTACGGATGCATAAGAACTGATTGGGCTTTGAGCGTACGTGCTATGATATACACATTGTTACCATAAAAAACACAATAGAACCGGAGTATTGAAATTGTGCTTAGTTTTACTGAAATTGCAGTGTAATTGAAAGTGTAAAATCGATGGCATTGAGATACTTTCGGCCATAATATTTTTATAATAAAAAGTTCTGTAAAAAACTGTGATTTGAAAAACAATGCCATTTAAGTGTTTATATTTGCCAACAAAGTAATATAATGAGCCATGTAATATAACCTGCGCATTTATACGCACCTACCAATTCTTTGCTACTGTAGCCTCTTAGTGTACTGGTTTTTCCTATTGGAATTGGACTGCTGAACTATCCGCATAGGCGCAATTTTTTTTCCAACTTCCGAAAATTTTTTGGAACTGCAAAGTGATACTCTCTACTGGTTCTATTCTGTCAGCTACTACACTTTGATCAGTTTTGGGTCGCGTGACAACGTTCTCGAACATTCGAATCTAAAAGAGGAGCATATATGTTTCAACCGCCACCACAATTGAGGATAAACTTTGGTTACCAATAATGTAAACAGTGCCAATAATTCAGAATTGGCGTCATTCCCCGGGGGATGTTTTGAGGGAACAGGAAAATGAGTAAAAAATGCCTATTTTTATCAAAAACTGAGATATTTGCAAAAAACTATATCAGACGGACGGCATCAATGTTTCTCAACTCTACCTCATTAGCTCTCATGACTTTCCACCACCATCTCCTCACTACTTCAAAAAATTCCAACTAGCAGTAAATAATTAATATTTAGCTGCTCACAAAACCTAACACCCACGAAAAAAGCTGAATACAATATACCGAGTATGATCGAACAAGCCTTGTAAGTAAACGCGTTGGTGTAGCTTGAACACAATAACTTTGAACACAATATCATGAAAGAACAGCTTTCCGTTTATTACAAAATTGTCTCCGTTATTAAAAACCACGTTTATTTCATAAATATACTTCTAATATAATATTTCTTGTCACGATTTAATATATATCAGAACGCCACAGGCATTTCCCCGAAAAGTCGAAAAAGATATTTTCTTATTTGAAAAGCAATAAACCGATAAACCAATGTCCCTAACAAAATCCCCAACAATTTGTTTTCAGAGTATTGGATAAACTGGAACATTCGTTTCTCGTCCTTCCTTTATAAAAATTGACTCCTTAGAATTTCAAAACCCTGTGGGCTTGTTTGAACAAGCGCTTCATGAAATTTTCAGTTTCCGCATTGGATTTTTGCCAATAACTTAGTTTCTGTATTTGCAAAACGAAATAAGAGTAAATATTTTACTTCAGGCTATTTCGCTTGCGACATTTTTCATCAAGTTTCAAATGTTGGTCCTAAGTTAATACTTTACAAATTCCTCACATTTTATATTATCTTGAAACCAACTATATTGTGAGACAAAATTTTCACATCATTGTTGCTAGTTTTTTCATTTTGTTGCTTGAATGTTAACGAATGGTTTCTGAAAGCGTTTATGCTGTGCGAATTTGCAATACCACAACAAAAATTATTTTGCCTAAAGGAAAATAATAAACTACAAATGTAAGAATTGTATTTTTTCTTATCTTGGTTTAAAGCGAGAGGGACATAACGTTGTGAGGATAACCCTATTGACTTTTATTAATAAAATGATTAAAACTGTTTGCTACTTCCACTTCCACAAATTATATACTTTATGTACCTATTTATTTTTAACCCTAAACTTTGTTGATGTACGCTTCAAGCAAGAGGCACCGACATGTAATGTTAACGTGACACTCAGTTGAGAACAAGCATAAACATTTTTGCCCAAAAACATGATAATTTTATTTATTAATTGAAAAATTGTGTTTTTTAAAACGGTGTTCCTCAACATTAATTTCTAGGGCCGAACTAATCTCAGCTCATAATCAGGTTTAGGATGTTAAACTGCTCGATTCTCTTTTCTTAACTTATTAGTTTTCTGAATTATATGATTATCTATTTCATTTGCTTAAAACTCTCGAAGTATGTGTTGTGCGTATGTGAAATTAACGGTTTCGGTGGCTTTAAATTGAAAATAGTCAACTTGAAATTGTTTTTAATTTGAATGTTGACGTAGTCCACTACTAAAAACAGACTATAGATTTAGGAACATTACCAACTGCCAACTCTTTAGAAACTTAATTGGCACTCTGGTTTTTCCCTGTTTTAATTTAAATGCAATTGGTATATCCCAAAGTGTAATTAACAAAGTCTAACTGCCATAATTGGTTTGCAAATTAACTGCCTCATAACTTTCAACTTTTTCAATTTGACCAGTGCGATATCTGCGATAAAACTGGAAAATTCGTGAACGGGAGAAGTTATTTACGCCGTTTAACTCTCGCCAATGATGTTAATATCAAAATATCTCAAATTTTTATTAGAAATAAATCTTACTTTTAAAGATTAGAAATAAAATACAGAGCTACCAGTATCATATTTTTGACATGAATGTTTGAAAATAAATGTTGATACAACTTTGAGCTTTTAAAGGAAAAAACGGAAAACAAATTACTATGAGATTAGGTTTTAGTTATTTAAAAGAACAACGTGAGAGGCCTGATATGTAATCTATTTTGGATAAAAGGGTAATTGATATTTCGGAAATTACTAAAGATTTATAAATCATACACACTCCATTACAGTTGATCTCAATCATCTGTGTCAAGAATTTCCTATATCGGATTGAGCCAATAGATAGTGGAGAGTTAAACGGTTAAATTCACGTTTAGCTTTTAATCAATTATATTATACACCGTGCCATAAAAGTACCGGACCCCATTTGATCTGAATACTACACATGAACAGTTCAACATTTTCGCAATCGACTGTTTTACTTTTATATGCAAATTTCAGACTTAATTAAAATGTAAAAAACTTACTTTGACTACTGACCACAAAAACTACATGACAATATGTAGACATAGTTTACTTCATATTAGTATTTTATTTGCAGTAAACAGTACTGTAGTAATTTTTAAACGAATTTAAACTTTCAATTTTCATCTTGTTTATAAAACTGAAGATTTACTTTCCACATGATTTTTTCTTCAAGAAAGTTTTCATGAGCCCCTTAAGGTCAAGATCCGTATTTAACAGTATTTATACATTTGATTATATACAGTTAATTTTTCCATTGCTATCTCAGAATGATGCGTAACCTTTTATTACCCTCAGTCACTAAGAAAACGCAGTTATTAGTGAATAGAAGCACATGAAAAGGTCACCTGTAACCGAAGATTCTAAAGTATACGATAAAGGTAAAGAAAATAAAAGCGCTATAACTTTGAAAAAGCTGTTATTTAAAATTCGTCTCATAAAATCCACAAATCTGCACATGCGAGCAGCGTACTAGTAAAGCACATAGCCATCCAGACCCCCGCAAATTCTCCAATTTTTTCTCAAAAGCGCATTTAATAGCTTTCAGTCTGCTTAAAATTTTGATCTGGACCACTTACAGCCTGAAGGGCGCTGGATGGTAAAAAGTCTGAAATATATCGAATGGATCCTGGCCGCTGAAATTCCCCAGTACGAATCGTTTGGAGACAATAGTTGATTAAGAATGTAAAGTTTGGCAAAAACAGGCCAATATGTAAATAAGTCCAGAATCATGTGCAGCCTCTTATAGGGCGCCATCCGCTAAACCCTCACAAAGCACTTAAAAAGTTTCACCTACCTTTAGGCATTTTGGTCTGGATTCTGCGCTATTTTAACATTTGTATACAGCAAAAAAATTGATTTACACCAGGAAACCCACTACTGTTGATGTTGACTTTGAAGACGTTTTAAGCAGATTGAATTTGTAAAGTTTAATTGAAAAATAAACTGATGTGGAAAACCTGACTAATAATGTTGAAAATTCACTTATTTATTGACTTCCTTACCTTACAAATGTAGCAAATTATAACTTTGTAAATTGTCTATCTAATGACGTATTAATAGACAGGTACTTTCATTTGAAAAACAAAAGTTATATTGTTAACACTCTGTACAATGGATTGATATTTTCAATAGAATTCTTAACGGATCTGTGGTGATTGGAAACACGTATTTTTTGTACCTTTAGCTGCTTTATTTGCTTCTACAATGAACTTTTAGATACCATGTTTTTAAGCAAAATTTTACTAAAATGGGAATAATCTGCCAACGTCGCAAGTAAGAAAAAAACAATTGACGGTGCATATGCAGCGTTTCAAGTTGCATTCCATGAGCTAATGAAAAATGGGTAGTTCTATTTAAAAAAATACACTTTGATCTTGCCTCGCTTTTCTGAGACACTCTGTATCATATAGGATATTTTTAAAATGTGTGCACTTTGTGCGTCAACAACTTTTATACGAAACTATTTTTCGAAAGTTCATCAGCATCGGAAATACTGGACTCTATCGCACTAAAAACCACCCTGTAGATGATTAAATGACACTCATGTAGAAAGAAATCAGCATGAAGTACAGTGCAAAGCTGAGAACTAAAATATGAACTAGAATTGTAGAAAAATAATATTTATTATCAACTTATTTGACTTTCATTGAACTTTAGGAAGAAATATATTGTTTTGTAACAGTAAATTGTCAATAGTTCCCTGGACATTTGTTGAACATTTCTTTATAAGTGTCTACTTAAAAATACAGCTTTGTTAAATAAATTATCATTTATCCTCTTATTCCATTGAATAAGAGGATAAATGACCTACTATTAAAGCATAATGTTATTAGCAAAGTGTTGCACTGCCAGTTATAATTTACCTTTTAACCGTCTAAGCAAAAAATTGCCCACGTTTAGAAGAGCTCCAGTTAATTGCATCAAGCTAAGAGTATTCATTCCAGCCATTTTCCTACACTCACTATGGCAACAACTATCTCTAATAGCAATTCTCCTCGAATAGCGATTAAACTTGCAGGTAGGATGGTTAATTCCCACTTTTAACGAAATGGCCCGCATTAGAGTTGCGTTAATTGAGGTGGAATGTCGGAGTGTTCGAAATTATCTAAGAACCGTTTTCTTTCTCTGTCGAAAAGCTAAACGTTCACCTTAAAAAGCAGAGGCGTAGACATTTGAAGAGCAGTAACCTGCGTTAACCTTTAAATTCTATAATTCCATAAATATGCATATATAAGTCATGTGTAAGACCACTACTAACATATTCAATATAAACGAGGACTGAAGATTGAAAACATTAACAGACAGAGTCCAGGACATTCAAATAAGAGGGCTATGTGGGACACAGGATTTCGTACGAGACTGGCCAGAATATCAAAGAATTTAAAATCAACGGGCACCAGACCACCAGGACGGCCCTTTAAAAGATCGCGAGATAGCTGACAGTCTGCTGCAGCAGTACAGTAAAGAGATCGGAAAAGAACAGTCTCAAGGACTAATAGGAAAAACCTATAAATTCTATGGAATTCTTACACTTTGATAGGAACCTGAAATTAACACAATCTAAATGCGTATTAAACAATCCTTTGTTCTCTATGATGATTTGGGTATACCACAACTTTCTCAAACACCTGTTAAAGTAAAATAAAAGTTTATGTTACAGTAAAACTGCAGACGTAGATGTTAATAGAAATAACCTTACCATGATGAATGAAAATGCGTATTTCAGTTTCTGTTGAGTTCGGATTTAAAGGTGCTTGAGAGCGATTCTTCAACTTCAATTTAAAAATGCATAAGGTTCATTTGCACGTTAATTTGTTTTCTATTGTTAACTGCTATTGTAACGGTTATTCCTCCGCTATTGGCGGACTTAAATCTTGTGCGATTTGCGGAAAAGAAACGACTCCTGTAGTATATCGAAAACAAGTTTTCTATGTATACTACCAACCAATAATTTCTTTTATGTATAGTGTACTAGTTGCTTTTTGTGTGTGTGAGGAAGCTTAGGTCTAGGGACATTAGATAGAGTCGAATTATCCGTTAAGATCAGCACAAAATTCTCAATTTCCAGCAAAATGGCCGAGTTGGAAGAAATGCCATTGTGACGGCCTAAAAACCCGAAAAACTCACAAGTTTGAAGAAATGGCCTTTTTTGTAACTAACTTGAATATAAACTTCAAAGATTCCTGCACTAGTCATCGAAAAAAACTCGCCTTGTACATATGTCAGCAAAGAATATAGTGTTAACAGTTAGCCATATTATAGAATTACCTAATTCTATTTATTGATTATACAGTTACTGACTTTAAAGGATACTATGCGTGTCAGGTCCAAAGTTTACCTGAGTAAACTCTCCGACTCCGAAGTTTAACTGGGTCAGCTCTAAAGTTTATTTGGGGGTTGAGTTCATCGCGTTGGTCGCGACGAAATATGCAGGTGTTGATAAATTAGCAAAAGTTGTGTACATAGCAGATTGCATACACTTTGGAGTAATTTATGATTAAAAAATGAGATTTAGGTATCAGGCATCAGGTCATTCGTGGAGCATGCATATGTTGACAACTACGAACAAGTTTGCAGACCTCCAACCTGCCAAAATTCCGTTTCTTACACAAATTACATGACACGTAATGAAAACGAATTATATCAGAATGCAAAATGTAGCAAAATACTTGCCAAATTTCTCAAAGTAATGTGCTCAACTGCACTAAATGCGAATGGATGCAGTGAAACTTGAAAACATATATTAACTGGTAGGTGGTTAGCTTCTCTGGAGCAGGCAAACAACTAAGAAGCGAATTGCAAGTTGGTTTCATTAAAACCGAAATAGTACTCGTAATTACAAGTCTATCATGTAGTGAGTCTAGTTCAAAGTGCATTTAATTTGTGAAGCACTTAGTTTGCTTTATCACCACTAAAACTTAATGTTATTATTGCTAAGTCGCTAAGCTAATAATAAGTCCAGTTTTAAAAAACTTTTTAAGTCTTGCATAGTTTAGTTTCCTATTGTGTATTCAAAGCAAATTTTCAAACAGGGCCGAAAACGTTTGTAGGTGCCATTTAAAAAATTTGATTTTGTAACTCATTTTATATCAATGTCTGTGGGCTGCATGCACCCATATGCTACAAAGTGGGTACCTTTACAGTACAACTATCTACCGAATGTGGGTTTTGAATTTAAAACCGTTCTTCATATATAGCTTGAACCCTAAATATCTGTAATAGCATTTTTTTCTTCAACAATGGACATTTTAAAAATTATAAGAGATAAGTTAATAAAAGTAGGGCGGCCCAAACTGGCAATTGGAAGCCCAATCCCACCATGCTAAAGAAATTGGGGTTTGTATTTAAAATAAGAAAGTTGTGTTACATTTTTTGTATACCCTGTTTACCTAGAGGGGCACTACCTGTTATCACCGAAAAGAAAATTTGAATTTTCCAAAACAGCTCTAAGTTGGAAATCTTCTAATGCACGGTCTACGTAAATCACCCTGTATAGTGACCGTTTGAGTTAGCTATTTAAATTGTATAATTGTATAGGCGGCCTATGTAATATACCAAAAGTAAAGTTAACACTGCGGAAACTTCATTAAACTTATTGCATAATATAAAATTTAATTCGAAATACTTTCAAATGCGCTCGTGTTACAACCAGCAATTAAAACTTCAAAGCTGGTATCTATTAATTTTAAATCAGTCAGAGTTTTTAATTAAAACCATATCTAACTGAACCAGAATGTTTTACTTTTGAATCGGTTTCCGAATGCATTAGGAATAGCGTTGACACTCTTAACAACAACGTGATGATGTGGTCGATAATATAATAAAAATAAGATCCTAATTAAAAATGCTGATAGATTTTAACATTTTGCTGAAGGTCCACCTGTGATTCAACAAGTTTTAAAAGTTTATAATATTGGGGATCAGTATGCTATGCTCATAAGAACAAAAAACTGTTGAGTAAATCACTAAGGTTCCGGAAACATTATGTTTTTCTTGAGGCTTAAAAACAGAGTAAGAAATATTCAAAACGAATCGGTTAAATAAATAAAAGCTCATATTTTCAAACAGATTTTACTTTAAAATGGAGTCGTCATGTTCTTCTTATTCTTCTTCTTCCTCGTACGTTAGGACTCAGAGTCCTGTGTTTTTCCTTCCTAGTCCTGGGATGCTGATGTCCAGCTTTCGTACCATCGCTTCGGTGGTCTTCCTGGGAGTCTTGAGCTATTAGGTTTTTGGTCTTTGGCGATTTTTGCTATTCCGTCGTCGGCCATTCTCTCTACATGGTCTCCGCACGCTCTTCTCCTTGCTCTGGTTCATCTTACAACATACGAAACCTTACAGGTATCTCTAATTTCATCACTCCTTTTCATATCGTATAGTGTGTGTCCTGTTATGGATTAGGACTCGCATTTCTGTTGTTCTTAGCAAGCGTTTCATTGTTGTGTTTTCCGCTCTTGTTTCTGCGGCGTATGTCATCACTGATCTCACGCACGTTTTGTAGATTCTGACTTTACTCCCTATACTCATGTGCTTGTTTCTCCAGATGATGTCTCGTAAGTAACCCGATATTAGAGCGGCTTTTGATGTTTGATTCCTTACTTCCTCCTTTAGATTCCTGTTACTCGTGATGTTTGCTCCAAGATATTTAAAGGTCATCACCTGTTCTACACTTTG